CTCTCACCTCGAGATATTTGTGCGTCTTAAAACGCTGCTGAGCTCTCGCGGGCTGCGGCACCAGAATCTGATGTTGCTGCTGCATGGCCGGCACCTGCCGAGCATACAGTGCAGTTGGTCGCCAGGGCTGAAGAAGCCGTTGCTGAGGGCTCAGCAACAAACGACTGTGGTGTTGACACTGTTTTCTCGAGGCAGTTGATCCCAACGACTTTGATCGTCGCACCTCAGACGAATGCACTTCATAACTGACTAGATCGCGTGCGTGAATTGCGTGGATCCGACCGGCCAAAGTCCCATTCTGCTCATCGGCGTCGTCTTCTTCGTTTTCGCCGTCCAACGCTTGCTCCAACTCCTCTTCTTCCTGCTCCTCCTCTTCTTCTTCCTCCTCCTCTTCCTGCTCGTCCTCCTCTTCATCGAGGCCCTCTCCTCTGACCGCGGTTCTCGGCCGGCGCGCCTGCCTCGGAAGCCTGTCGATGCTGATCTGGATCAGGCTGATCTGACGCCGATGCTGGTTGACTGGAGCCCGCGTGGCGGCCGCCGTTCCCAAGCTCTGCTCGGCCAACTCCGAGCCCGTCGCCAGCGGACTCGACCTGTCCCCCGCCGACGTCTTCTGGCCGGCGCTGCGCCGAGACCCGCTGTCTGTTGCGTGTCCGGTCGTGCAGACCGACGCACCGAACAACAGGTTGCCAGTCTGTGAACTGGCAGCAAATGCGTCCGGCGGGGCCAACAGATCGGCCAACTCGGACACCGCCTCGTAGCTCGACAGCGTGGACGAGGCAGACGGACCCTGGCTGGTGGGTGTTCCGACGCGAGTAATGCTGCTCCCATCGCCTCGATTCTCCCGGCTCATCTGCTGGTTGCCATTCATACTCAAACCGCCTATTCGCAAATTGAAAAGAGCCAATCTTGTAACTAAGCATGACGTCTGGTGATCGTTTCAAGTAGGATTTCGAGACTATCAATAGATCTTGATTGTCTGCCTTCGTCAGCCTGAGTTGCATAAGGTGATGAAGATGTGTTTGCTAATTTTCCCACAATCATATGATGCTAGTCTGGAGCTCATCCGTCACCCAGTGGGACTCGAACTCGGCCAGTTCAGCGCACAGTTCTGGCATTCTAAACAAGAATACCCTTTTAGAGGTAAGGTCAAGCATCCACTCATTGTTGAAAATTTCACTGTCAGGTATTCGTCATCTTGAACGATTCAAATTGATTAAATTTTGTTTTTTCAAGGTCTCCATATGGTCTAGAAATCCTACTCCAAGCATATGCAAGTAATATAAGAGGTATTCACCACATTTTGTTTAAGGTGATGAAAGACTGGTAGTAGAATTTCTCCACAATGATGTGAGTAGAGCTGACGATCCCATTAAATTTCCCAAAAGGTGTTCTCATCCCGACTGAAATGGACTGCATTCTCCACATCGAATAGGTCTTATCAACACCCTCCGCGGGAGTCGAACCGTGACAGTGCAGAATGGGAGCTTGACACGTTAATTACTCGACCACATTGCCACAAATGCTCTTGTGTCACAGGGCAGATGTGAATTTCAAGGAAGGCTAGGCTTTTTGTCATATCATATTCTTTGGTGAGATACCCCTCATATTACTGATTTACTCGAAACTCTACTCAAATATGAAAATAAGTAGCGCAGTCGATTGTTTTTGCAAATATACGTTTGCTTCATCGACAATCCCACGGCCGCTTAAACGAAATTGGGTGAATACATCTCATACTACTGATTTACTGGTAGTCTCAAAACTCCCTTTAAATAGGTTAAACTAATGTATTTACCAACTAGTTGCCTACATTAAACAGTATGAAACTGCTCAAGTTCATTAAAAGCAAAAAAAACTTTGTATGTAAAGTATAATCGCAGAAGCATTTTTAAGAATTATGTAAATCTCTATTTGAACCTTGATTTTAAAACGTGTGGCACCCACTCTGCATGTATCGATAGAAGCACAGAAACCATGCTTGGTTTTGTGAGAATATTGGTTTGTTGTTAAGTAAGTGGATTTGCCTAATTGGTATTAAAAGTTTCTTGAAAATGTAAAACTTTCAACGAAACTACTCAAATACGAAAATACACAAGTAATGTTGTGGACTTTACTGTTACATGCATGTTTGCTCCAGCCACAATCACACCCTAGAAAAAGTGATATATGACCAGCTTAGCTTGCCTGTAAATTCACTTCCACACTCGAGGCAATGTGGCCTAACAGCAACAGGTCGAAATTATACATTTCCCCACCACTAACCGGGCTCCATCCCAGCTGAAGACGATGATGCGACCGTAGCTCTTGTCCGATTCTACCTTTCCTGTCCGAACCATTCAAATTCAGTCCAGGCCAGGTTGGCAACGGATGGCAAACTCAGAGTGTACCCAACTATTGGTTGCTAATTTGACTGCATGGGTTTGTATGCAACATGGCTATATTATTAATTTAATGTACGAACTTTTATTGTTAATTATTTTTGAGTTTTTTGAAAATGAGTTTGTCCAAGTCGTTTAAGGCGATAGAAGGATCTATATTTGAATTTTCCTACGAAGAACTGTATTGGCTTCATAGTGACTATGAATTTCACTAGGACTTACATGCCAAAGCTTCTCGATTGCAGGCTGAGCTGAATATTTTCATAGAGAAGACTCGTTATTTTGGTAGGTGATGAATCAACATTATTTCGCATAGATCTAGTCTCGTGAACAAGTTGAAGCTAATCTTCGACAGGCTTGTTACTTGCGAATTCATTTGTTCATCTTATGCCATTGCAAAGTTAATGTACCCCTTTTAAACGAGAGTCATTGTAGAGACTATGAATGTTTATTGAATTTCGAAATTGGGTTGGTC